ATTATGTGAGAAATGAAGAAGTGTTAATTAGAGTCAGTGAGCAGAGGAATATCCTACATGAAATAAGAAAACGGAAGGCTAATTGGATTGGTCATGTTTTACGCAGAAACTGCCTTCTAAAAGAAGCTATCGAAGGAAAGATAGATGGGCGGATAGAAGTGACAAGAAGACGAGGAAGAAGACGTAAGAAGATGCTGGATGACCTTGGGGACAGAAGAGGATACTGTCATTTGAAGGAGAAAGCTCTAGGTCGCATTAAGTGGAGGAATTGTTTTGAAAGAGACTGTGGACCTGTCGTCTTGACAGATTACTGATGATGATGATGATAATTCAGACATTTTCCATCATCACATTTTGTTTCAGAAGTTGTCTCTATTTCCACAACATGGGTTTTTAATAAAAATCAAGAAATAAAAAAACTGCTACATACATGACAGTTTAAGACAAATACCATATTTATACATGTATTGGTCATGCAAATTAAACACCTGCAATACAATTCCAAGAAAGTTTTAAGTAATACACCAAAATTTATAACAAAACTATTATGCAATGAATAATGTATTGCACAACCAACTATCCTGTTCCTTGATTTTATTAAGGACCTTGAATATCAAATGTGATCAAAACCTTTAAGTATAGCATGTACCAAAATGGAGTGGTTTCATGCGGCCATAACAGCTTTGAAAATGCATGCAGAAGTAAGTTTCCCACATGGAACAAAACTGCAGGTATTCAAGTTTTGATCCCATGTTTCATCTCACTCCTTCTCACTTCTACGTTACAAAGAGAAAATGACGAATCCAGAGCAGAAAGCATTTTGTGTGCTGCAGTTTGTGAAGCATCAATCAGCTGTTTCTGTTCAGCGGGTCTTCCACTGATAATTTTAGACTGATCCCCCATCTGCCAAGAGCATTAGGCACTGGTTATCAGCAGTTTCAGACAACGGGGTGCCTTTGTAAGGGAAAAGTGCAGGATGTCCACGTGTGTCAGAAGAAAGTGTAGAACAAGTGAGAAAGTCTTTCCTTTGCAGTCTGAAGAAATCTGTGCACCACATGAGTCGTAAATTGGAGATATCGACGACTGTGTGGAGGGTGTTGCGAAGGAAACTGGAAATGAAGCCCTATCACCTTCACTTAGTGCAGTTTCGTCAATCATTTTGGTACACGGTGTATAACTCAAGCATTTTTCAGAGTCAAAATTCAATGTTTCTGGGAAATTTGATTTTTTTTTTTATTTGTTTCAGTCTGGTCTGTCACACTAACAAATTACAAAGACAAACAACTCCGTCCAGTGTGACTAATGGAGTTTTCACTGCTTGAAAACTCAACTTTCTGGGGAAGTAATGTATTTTAATTACACAATTACAACAAAAACAGTAATATTACTGTCTTCAGAGATGAGACACCATGTAGTCTGGTGAACAGGTACCAACATTTCAGAGAACCTTGCTGCCTCCATCTTCAGGATATAATACTCTTGTACCATGATACAGTCAGTGCATTCTTCTGAAACACTGGAATCTATCTACCAAATTACACAATGGCATATCCCACAAGGCCATAGTCTTCTCAATATCTGCTGTCATGAAAACTTCAAATCTCAATAACAGTCAGGTTCACCAGTCTTCAGCTAGAGTACAGTTTTCTCATGTGCAAAGAAGATATCAAGTATTTACAGTCTCTTCAAACTCTAAATTCAAACCACACTCAAAATAAATTTGCTAACAGTCTCAAATGTAATCTGTTCTAATGTTTCACCTATAATTATAGACTAATGTGTAACATTTTCCAACTTCACTTCTCTTTTCCTTCTTCATCATCAGCAAGGATTCGTTGCTTCAAGCTTGTTCTGAGATTAATAAATTCTCCTAAAAAAACTGTGCTAATATCTCATTTTACAGTATTTATACACAAAAAATACTCACTTCAATATCTGTGGGCTGCAAAATGTCAGAATATCCTGTATCATTTTCAGGAGTGATCCAAAGATAAATGTAGGGCCAAAGGCCTTACATAAAGCAGGCAGAATTGAGGCCTGGTATTTTTTACGTTGCTTCTCACCAGCAAAATCCACATTCCCTGACGTTTTGCTGAATGTTGCTTTGGGACTTGGAACACTACAATTAAAAAGTGAAAAACAAATCTGTTGCAACTTAAATAAGATATCATTTTTGTAACACTCTATTTTTACTTCCAAAACGGAGGTTATCAAACTTACCCAAAATAGTCCCAGAACATCCTTGGCAAGCCATGCACACATTAAAATAAAAGTTATAAGGCATGAAATAAAGAACATGATGAAGTCTTCAGTGCACAAAATAGCTCATTCACCTTATTTTTTTACCCTTAAATAAAGCTTCTTTTACATAAGATGTTGAGTATGAGGAGTGAGCCATAAAAACCGGCCCTCACCCTGTGACCTTCAATGATCTATTATGCGTTACATAAGATGTTACTCAAACAGACATGTATTATACTAGACAATATTTAAATTAAATTACTTTACTACACAAATTCAGAGCAATATTTATAGGAATTGCCGGTCACGGTAGCCGAGTGGTCTAAGGCGTGAACTGTCTTCGCTCGCTTGGAGCCGGGATCGTGGGTTCGAATCCCACTCAGGGCATGGATGTTTGTGTGCGTTTTTCTGTGTTTGTCTACAGGTAGAGGCCTTGCAACAAGCTAATCACTCGCCCAAGGAGTCCTACCGCATGTGTAAGATCTAGAAAAACCAAAGTGAACGGAGAGTTCATGGAGGTAGGCCTAGGTCCACTGGGGCTGTAGTGCCAAGAAAAAAAAATATAGGAATTAAGCTCACTTACTTCGATGTCTTACGAAGTGTTTCTTCCCAATATTTATCAAATATAGGAACAACTTCTTTTGAGGTGTCTTCAGGATTCATATTCCAAAGGTCTTTTGTCTCAAGAGGTTTACGAAATCCTCTCCATGAAAGTGGATCAAACCATGCGAAGAAGATTTTGGACAGAAATGAGGCACTCTGCTCGGGGCATGGTCTCTGTAAGCATTTACAAATATATATGCACAAATTAAAATACCTTGTCAAATAGAAATTAAAATACATGTATTAATGATCCCATCATTGTTAGGTTCCATGTTTTGACTATGATCATCTCACATCCTATAAACATAAACAATTAAAAAGAATGCCAGGCATAAAAATAATCAAACTTCACCACTTACTTCAACAGAAGGATACTCAGAATATCTAGGGGGAGCATCAGCAAAACAGTTGAATACCAGCATGGCAAGAACCAGAGGATAGTATATCATGTAACTGACAAAAGGAAATGCCTGGTCCACCTGTATTCGAACAGAAGAAAAAACTTCCAGTTACATCAATTTGCATTTGTCACACAGCTACATAACAAAACAGATGAGACAAGTATCAGTAAAACATACATATCCACTGCTTATTCACAGACATTAAATCACTGAATAGACAGCTCCATCGTACCTTAGATCAAATTTGTTTTCCATACATTGTCACCTAAAGGGAGCTAGTATAGTAACTACGCTGTGGAGTGGACATCTAAAGATCAGAGTTCAATTCCTGGCAAAGTCAGAGACTTTTCTCTTCTCCACAGCATCCAGACCAGCCCACCCAACATCCTATCTAGAGGTTAACAGGGGCTCTTTCCTTAGGAGGTAAAGCAGCCAGGGCATTAAGCTGACCATTTACCTCCACCTAGTGCACAGGTTATGAACAGGTGGAGCTATACATCTGTTCCCAATATGCTTCCATGGCATGGTGATTAAATTAACATAAGACTCAATTTTATCTTTTTACCATCATATACATACAAATAAACTCAGAAAAACCATATTGCAGTGGATTTTCCTAACAGAAAAATTACATCTGTACAGTCTACAGCAGTTTAAATAGCTTTTCTATGTTCACATTATTACACTAACATTTTGTTGATTCAAAATACATATATGTCAAATGGAAAAAAAACATAACACCTGTTATTGTTCTGTCGACCATATATGATACTCACCTGTTCACTGTTCCCACCAGTGAGCTCATAACGATATCGCACTGCTCCACACAGTGCCAAGAGGAACCAGAATAGGAAAAGCAGCCCTGATGTCCTAAGTCCACGAACACGATTGTACGTAACAAGTGCTCCTGACAAACTCTGAGGAAGACAAAAGAAGAGGGAAATCAGAAGAGAGAAAACACACACTTTGACAGTATAGACCTCTTCCATACAGAAATATCACAAGTCATTTAAATTCATGAATTATAAATCTGTCACAAACAGATATTTTCAGGAATGAAACACCCATTAAGGGCCAAGACCCAACTATACATTGCAACCTGTACTAAAACTTAATAACATAATCTTAGACAAAAAAGAGTAAAAATAAAGAATTCTATCGGCTGAGATGGTGTGCCTATAGTCCAGTGAAAGCCAAAAAACATTTCAGAGGTATTTTATTTTATTATTATTAGAGGGGGTGGGTTTCCCCATGCACTTACACCAGTTATTGGTCCATTGTGCATCCCCCTTTAATTTCTGCTGTCGCCATACCCTACCGGTACTGGTGCGTGCTATCAGCCCCGTTCAGCCAACGAGGTCGGCCCTCGGTACCTGATATTTCTCCCATCTACCAGAGGCATTGGAAACTACTTGGGCAGGAAACTTGTTGCCTAATTTTGCTCAGAGGTCTCCTAGAGACATGAGGATCTTTTACATGCCGTAAATCTACGACACGGGACCCATGGCTTAAAGTCCCTCCCGGAGGACTTGTTCCCTGAATTTTTCCGCCCTTAAAAATTCCACAACCTCTGCAAGGTTTGAACCCACGTACCTTGAGTCATGAGGTGGGAACGTTACCCCTAGACTACGGAGACCGCTTATTTCAGAGGTACACTCTGCCTCCATCTTCAGGGTTGAAGAGTAAGCTAAGCAAGAAACCACCATGAAGCAGGCAACAAGCTTATCTTACTCTTGAAGCATTGAGGTTGGAGGTGACATAGTCCTCTGAAACATCACTTGACTTTCACCAGAATACAAGGCATTTTATCCAGAAGACAGCACTCTTCATAACCACCACTACGAGAACTTCAAATCATACAAAGGTAAAATACTTACAAATGTTGCTATTTTAATTATAGGTGAATAGAAGTCTGCAGATGATACATTTTCGCCATCAGTACTCAAATGAATTGAATGCCCAAAGTCTACAGCTGCTAATATCACCAGTAAAATGGTCAGAACCTATTGGCACAAGAACACAATATTCACCTTTCTTAAAACATCCCAGTCTAACATGGCAGGAATTATTTAACCATTTCATTAATTCTCGATTACATTATTCTATTATTCTGTCCAGAGAATGGATACATTTGTTACACAGTTTATGAAGCATGTCAGCTTATAGTTGAGTTCCCAGAGTTACAAATGCATGTTCTCGCAGACCATTTCATTTCAGTGACTTACATAGCTGCAACTTAAGTCAGGATTTGATTGCACCATAGTTCAAGCAGTTAGTTGCTGGCTTCCCACCGCGGCGGCTCAGGTTCGAGCCCGGGTCAGGTCAAGTGGGATTTGTGGTGGACAAAGTGGTGCTGGGGCGGTTTTTCTCCGAGTACTTCGGTTTCCCCTGCCAATCTTCATTCTACCAAATTCTCCATCATCATAATCACCCGGGGCAGGCTAAAATATGCCAATCAGAGGCCACTGTGCCGAGTGGACCCAGCTGGACTCCACCCCCCACTAAGTGAATTAAAAAAAATTAATTAAGTCAGGATTTAATCTCATACTAATCCTTGTGTTGATTATTTCATTCAGCAGATGCCATGTGATATTATTTCCACTCTTTCCTTTTTGCTGAGTTGGCTCAGTCAGTACAGTGACTCAAGTAAGCATTAGATGACCATGGAACTGGGGTCCAATTCCCATCCCTGCGTGCACAGAGACTCCAGTATGTTGCTACTAATCTCCATCTAACGCCAAAGCTAGAACAGGTCTGAAAGCTATAACTCCAGGCAGATTCTGCAGTGTTCTGACAATGGAGTATATCTTTCAGAATTACTGGGTTTTGGGACTTTGTCCATCATGCAGTATTGTGTTTATTAGAATAACAAATAATGCACAAAATCCAACAACCCAGTAATCCTGAGTGCACTACCTCTAGTCTCCCTACAACTTCATGCTATGGTGCTTAACTGGGACACGCGATAGCATAGCTGGTTGAGGCACTATGCTACAAGCCAAAATGATGGATATGATTCCCAATGAAGTGGATTCTTTTCAATTTACCTAATCCATCCATCTGCACTATGGCCCTGATGTTTCACAACCCTTTGTGCCTTCACGGCCCATTACAGAGACAGCTTTACCTTTTATGGTACTTAATTAAGCATAGGGACAACTTCACCTTCACTTTACCTTACAAAGGAAGGAATAAAAAACAGCAGAAATCTAATCCTCAAAACTTACAAGTTTGGTGATATTCAACCAGTTCCAAGGTATATTCCTTGTCTTGCTGTGAATGATGTAGTACGTCTCCAGGGGTGCAAAAGCCCACAGAAAGAGACATGGCACCCATACCAATACTGTATTCTGGAAACATGGCGACAGCTCTGGGTTTTCAGTATACCATGTTTCATTGGAATTCTGAAAGTAAAACAAATATGTAATCTGTAACTCTCACCACTTATTACTAGAATGATCAAATCAAAGAGGATGAGATTGGCAGACACTGTACCATGAACTGGACAGATGTATGTGCACAAAGTTTTGGAAAGGGACCACTTAGGAGACCTGAGGATAGAAGGGATTAAAATTTAACTTAAACAAGAAGTAGTGGGAAGAACTAAGCGCCTACTTCCCTTCAATACAACACAGCTCACATAGAAAACAATGTGTCCAACAATTCTAGTGTTGCATGCATTCCTTGCTGTGGCAACATTCCTACTGAGCCAATGCTTAGCAATAATAGGGGGATACACATCCAGACACCCAGACTGATGGGGGAGATTTTTGGGGCACATCGCTGAGGTGGACACAGATGCCATTTTATACATACCAAGTTTCAAAGAGACTGGTTAAGATATTCAAAAGTTGATTGGGGGGGGATTCACAGACACACAGAAAGCACTGTGACCTCACAAGCCTACTTTCATTTTCTCAAAATAAGGAAAGCTACAAAAAATTGGAGAAGGCAGTGTGGACTGGTTTCATCCGGCTCAAGATAGGGGCTAGTGGCAGGTTCTTGTGAACACAGTAACAAAGCCTCAGGTTCCATAAAACACTAAGAACACTTGAGTGGCTGAGCAACTAATTGCTTAACATGGACTCAGCTCCATGGGGTTAAGTTAAAACAAACTTATGCATTAAGATAAGGAATCTATGCATTCAATAAAGAACAGGAAATGTCTTGAGTAACTCGGCTTCCTAAGGTTTTTGCTGCATGGAGTGAGTCATCAAATGGCAATTAATTTAATTCATACTCCGCAATAACCCCATCAACTTAGATATCTAAGGCTTCTGTGTTCCTGACCATAACCAGATGAACAACTACACCAATTCAAGAGCAACAGGCCTAAGATCTACAAAGGACTTACCATATAGCTCTATATTTTTAAATTATTCAGTATTGAAACATCTTGGGAGTCCTGTATATGTCAGAATGAATTTCTTTTGGTCCAAGCATTCATTTCCTTATATTATGTTCCGTAAATAATTATTACTGTAACACCCACTGAAAACATGAAGTCTGATCATTTGTTATACAAGTATATACTTTTAAACTTCCCTTGCTTTCTTCCTTACAACTCTGAAGTCCTATGTATTATCAAATGATGCATTAAGGATGACATTTGGCCGCACCATAGCTCAAGCAGTTAGTCGCTGTCTTCCCACTGTGGCGGCCCGGGGTCTGGTCAAGTGGGATTTGTGGTGGACAAAGTGGCGCTGGGGCAGGTTTTCTCCGAGTACTTCGGTTTCCCCTGCCAATCTTCATTCCAGCAATTGCTCCACAATCACCCTCACCTGTCATGTGGGGCTGGTACAATAGGCCAGAAGTGGCTGTAGTACAGGGGACTTAGTCCCACTCCACTAGCAATAAAAAAAAAGGATGACATTTAACGCAATCTCTCATGAATAACATAAGTCAACTGTAAACTGTCCCCTTTATATAGCACATAACACTTTGCACATCCACATAAAAAGTTTATCAGTACTCAAACAACAGAACGCAACAGGGTAAAACAAATGGGTGCTCACTCATCTGTGACCTACTAAAAACTTACGTATGTTCATGCAATATGTCAACACTCGACAAATGATTGCTATGGTAGCCAAAAATTGTATAATTTCAGAGCCTTCATCCCACTGTTACAGCGCTTTTCTTATGTACATATTAGCCGAATTTAAATTAAGGCACGTGTGCCACAGGTTGTCAACCCCTGGTATAAAGTTTAGTAGTCTGCTCCTCAATAAATTCCCCGCCATACTCCCTGTATGTCTAATTCTGCCATTAACAGGGCTCTAACTGAACTTTGTTCCTGTGATGTCAAAGATCTCATCAAGTCAGAGCATGTTTTGGTTTGTGCATTATTACTGGTAATAGGAAAGTGCACCTTTAACCAATAGAACTGTTTTTGGTAATTAAGCACGTTTCCCTGTCTCTTCATTATTTTTTCATTGTGGAACAGCTGTTTCAAGAAGATATGCTTTTTTGATTATTTTCAACAGTAACGATAAAGAGTTAAGGTTGAGTGACACATTTATCAATGCCACTTGTACATTTAAACAGTTTGTAAGAAGTGCCAGAGGGCCTAACCATACCCAAGCAAGAATATGATAAAGAAAATAAACTAAAAGCAGACTTGCATTTAACATGTTGTAGCATGTAGACCCCTTGCTAGGTAATGGTCAGTGTACAAGCAGCAGAGGAACAAGTCACATACACAGTGACTCATGCAACAACAGAAGAGGTGCTGCAAGTGGCATCTGGGTCCATTTCAAGGCTATATGACTCGACCAAGTTCATGATGGGTAGGTGAGACAGACTGGATGAAAAAAATATAGAAAAGCTGCAGGAAAATGCTCGTCGAGAGATACGCTTTACTTAGGACCACTTTGATATCCTACAGCAGCATATGAATCTCACCCATAACATGAATGCTCCAGCACCATTTTAGAGGTTAATGGAGACCGTTGTAAGAGGCCTCACTTACAAGTTATGTCTCGTGTAACAGGGCGACGTGATCGTGATTGGCCGCATGCTCCAAGAGCACCTGCTAAACATGCGGAAAGTGTTCCAGCGGTTCCGAGAAGCCTGCCTGAAGCCCCAACCGGAGAAGTGCCAGCTCTTTCAGAAGTACAGTACCTCAGGCATATTGTGTCACCTGAGGGGATAACCGCCAAACCCCTAAAACTGAAAGCCATACAAGAATGCCCAACCCTGAAGAATAATCATGAAATTAGTATCTTCCTCGGCACATGTCCATATTACAGACAGCTCATTTCCGGTTTCACCAACATCGCGAACCCAGTGCCCAAACTCACGCTGGAGAAACAAGCATCCAAATGGACTCCAGACGTGAAGACCACCTTTCATACACTAAAGGAGGCCCTCTGTACAGCCCCTGTTATTGCTTACCAGCAGCCAAGAGGGAGATTCTTCGTTGACATAGGCGCAAGCCACATCGGGATTTGAGGATTGCTCTCCCAAGCACAGGAGGAACAGAAGAGTGTGACAGCCTACTATAGTAACACGCTGAACAAGGCCAAGAGTAATGACAGCGTCACCCGACGGGAACTACTTGCAATAGTAAGGATACTGGAACATTTCCATACCTCTACAGGCAGTACTGTTCCACCTGCGCACCGACCACTCTGCATTAACCTGGCTCATGAGCTTGAAGAACCTCGAGGGACGAATACAAGAGTATAATTTCACTTCCGAGCACCGTCAAGGTCGAAAACACAATAATGCCGATGCCCTTTCGCAACGACCATGCCGATAAGAGTGTACGCATTGCCACAAAGTCAAGGCGCAGGCGGACGCCAGGCAGACATGAGCAATTACACATGTAGCCACAGTCGGCTGGGATGCAGGCGCTCTGCGATGCGAACACAACGATAAAAACATAGGGACATTCTGACGGAAGCAGGAGCCGGACATCGCCAACCGCAGCCCCACGTACAAAAGCCACTGGGCCCAATGGAAATCACTGACATATTAGAGCGCCACTGGGAATCCTCCGACAGACAATCAAAGATAGCTCACATAATTCTCCTTCGGAACAGAGTAAACGACGTGTTGACCGAACTACATGGTGGATCGTCAAGGGGTCACTTGGGTGTCAACAAGACCCTCAATTAGGTCCGGAAAAGGTACTACTGGCTCCAAACAATGAACAATGTTGATTAATAGTGGCAGCCCCCGAACAAAGAATCGGCGCCAAATGCATCAATATCACGTTGGGACCAACCATTGATATAGCAGGGCTCCTCCCACGAAGCGACCAAGGAAACCGATATCCCCTGATCGCTATGGACTACTTTACCAAGTGGCCGCCAGGTTGCGACCGTTCAAGTGACTAAGCTGCCGTTGAGGCCGCGCCATAGCTCAAGCGGTTAATCGCTGGCTTCTCACCGCGGCGGCCCGGGTTCGATCCCGGGTCTGGTCAAGTGGGATATGTGGTGGACAAAGTGGCGGTGGGGCAAGTTTTCTCCGAGTACTTCCGCTCCCCTGCCAATCTTCATTCCACCAAATGCTCCACAATCACCCTCACCTATCATCTGGGGCCGGTACAATAGGCCAGAAGTGGCCGCAGTACAAGGGACTTAGTCCCACCCCACTAGCAATAAAAGGAAAAAGCTGCCGTTGTAGCATAAGATACGTAAGACCGGCATGATCTGCTTTGCAAAGCCTGTACTGAAAATGGGCTTGTATATAGTGCAAAGGGAAGATTTTTCAACATGCGATTTGTTGATAGGTAGACTTGAGGAAAGGCCAAGCATATTCGTAAGAGACAAACCCATCTTCTCGTCAGACAGGACGTTACATAAGGACTATGACCGCAACGGTTCAGTTGAAGATAAAAAAAGACTCTGGTCGTGAGTCTCAAGGGACTCGGTGCCAAGACGAACAGATATGACGCTAAACCGCCAGTCGTAAAGTAACTCTGACTTTGACAGTTCAGTTAGTGAGTGCAGTGCAGCTGAGTACAGTAGAGTGAAGTGAGGTGGTTACTGAGCTGTCAGTTAGAGGTCTGCTGCAGTTCAGTCGTTGCAAGTCGTTGCTGTCAGACGCTGGTAGCTGAGGCACGGAGATAGCTCTGGGCCGTTAAAGCTGTTGTCAGGCAACGGCTAGTGGAGACTGTAACAGACTGAGAACACCAGTCTGTGTGTGGCAGTGATTTGTAAAGTGCAGTCATGAGTTGTGTTAAAAGTGGTCAATAAATCCGATTACCGATCCAAACCCCGTCTACTGTCACTCATATACGTGACAATATACTTTCATATGTTTTTTTTTCATTTTATATGATTGTACTTTGTTCCAGTTATACTTGATATATGTGACATATTGAAAGTTGGTTGTACTCCCATTATCAGACGATCAGTTGTCATTACACTAACAGAATTTTACATCTTATTTTTATATTAGTAGAAATGGTTGGGAACGAACAGAGGACTTCTGAATAATATGCTAGCATGCTGATCACTCAACTACGGATGCACGTATATACAGGATGATTCACAACTTAATATCTTAACTTCAGGAGCGTGTAACTGTGGTCATTCGCTGTCAGAATTGTCAGGTAAGCATGTATAGGTTCAATTCTCAACAGTGACAGAGCTATGGATATTTGATATTCAAGAATGGTTTGGATGTAAGTTACAGTAATTTCATGTTGGCAGCATGACATATTAGTGGGAGAACATCAAACATTTTTCGAAATTAAAAAACAAATAAAATAAAATTTCTGCGTTTCGACAAATGAAGTTCCTCGAAGCCATAAAAATATGAAAATTTATAAAAAAAGTATAAAATATCAGTGTTTAGAAAAAGAATCTGTAAATATGGGGAAATTCTAAAAAGGAAATGACAATTTTAAAATATTTGCGATATTAAAACCCTCTAACAATTGTACATATTGGTACTTCACAAATCTGAAAATGCATAATATTTAAAAATAAAAAGATCGGAAATTTAGGAAGTTCGTAAGTATCACAAATATGAAATCTTCCGAAAACTTCAAGCTTTTTAATAAAAAAGAACAGATAAAATGATCGAAAATATATAAACATCGAACATTTTCAAATACTTAAAACTTTTTTTTTCATTTATGAAATTTTGAAATTTCTGGCGAATGCACCGATGGAAGCGCTAACATTGAATTGCCGCGATATACACCCAAACCACTGTTGAACTTCGAACATCCATTCCTCCGTAAAGGTTGACAATATGTCCAACGTTTATATGACGTTTCTAATTGGGAATAACCTCAGGCTGTGGGATCCTTAAAGTCATGCCATCAAGCCCATCAAGCCAGCAGCTCCCACTGGATGGAGGGTGCAACCAGATGGCTATGGCGGGAGGTACAAGCTATTTCATTGAAGTTATACAGTAAAACCGAGCCAACTCTAATCCTCAACATGTCAGAAGACTTCTAAATGATAAATATGAATTTATGAAGACCTGAAAGAGCTGGTTTTAAACATGAAAACTGAAGAAAATATGTTCTTTGTGCGAACGCACGCACACACGAAGTCAGGAAATGGCAGGACGACTAAATCTTTGCTAGGTTGAGGGCACACCATAATGCAAGTTCGAAAAGCGCTGCATAAAGTGATGAATTACCCTGTATGTACACATATAACTACCAATTCCAATTTATGTGTACCAGAAATAAGCTGCAGCTTTGAGTTTTAACATCAGGGGAAGCCTCCAAATATTGAGAAATAAAAATCAGTGGAGAGTCAAACAGAACATTCTTTTGTAAAATTCGGAAGATAACAGACGTCCAACTGCATCTCGTCAGGTTGGAATGATGGAAAACAATACGCACGCACAAATGTAATAATCGCAAACAAATTGGGAGGAGACATCGCTCCTCGTGGTGTCCTTGTGTCTCTGTTGCAAGCAATGCATTTGTGTCGTTCCACATACCCGCGCATATACTAAATTCTTTCCCTAACACAACCACATGTAAATTAACATTTCTTAGAGATAAAAGGCGGCCCATGAAATTGTAAAAAAAAAAAAAAAAAAAAACTTAATCACTATTTTTACATCGCTTAAAACATTGGGATGTGAAAGCTTGAGGCCTCGCGACCTCTTATTAAATTTGCCATGATAAACCTAATTTCACCGGTACACGTACACTCCTACTAGCAAATAATACAACATGTAACACAACGTGTGCAAATGCGGCATATCTATCAAATTACTAAATTATATTACAATAACTAAATTTATTAAAACTGTCCCTCCGGCTTGTGTTGTATTAATATACTAAGGGCCGCCGAAATTTCTATACCGTGACAGCGTGTATCTTCAAAGCAAAATTATATATTGTTTATAACGTCAATTTATTTGTCTACGTGAACCAAAGCGAACGGGGAAAAGCTACATGAGTTATACATATTTCGCACGAAATGAGACACTACAGGGGAGGGCTGGGATGTAGGACAACAATTAAAGGGGAATTAATTGCTGTTACTGCAATTTTATCAAAACCATTAAGGCCAGTTTAATATAATCATACACAATGGTAATCATGATTAGTAAGTTCGATAACTTTCAATGATGTAGGAATAGGTCAGGCATGGCGAAGAACTGAAAGCAGGCAAGATAGCCGTGGCCTATTTTAGGGTAATCCCAATATACGCAGGTAAAAACAGAGAAACCCCAAAAAATATCATGACAAATCAGTGCAGACTGTACAAGATTTAGTTTAATTTAAAATAATAATCTGTTACGTCTGCTCAGAAACTACGAGAGCCAAACGGTTAAAGGCGGAACATTCAACAGTGCTATGGGACTGTCACATGTTATAGATTTGGGTCATGTAACATTGCCTCTTGGTACAATGAAATTCAGATATACCTTCCTTCCTCTCCATTTAGATGCCTTCTTGCCTTTGATTCTGGTACCGCATCAAATTCGTTCAAAATTTCACACATATAAACGAGTAATAAGATATTACTATAACTTACCCAAAAGTCAGAGTTGCAAAATACATCCATGTCTTCGCTCGCCATTTCTCCACGATTTGACTGCAGTGCTGCACTCTTCTGGTTGGACGTTAAAGCTACTGAAGCAAACAAAACAAGGTAAAATAATACTAGTTGTTTTAATGGTCTCCGCTTGAATGTATGTGCAAAAAGCATGTCCAAGAAGAAGAACAGTGTACTTCTGGAAGTCGACAGATCAATAATTGAACATAACCTACTCATTCAGGTAAAATAAATTCAAATTACTTCTAGGCATAATTCGCTTCTGCAGAACACAGTTACATTAGTAGTGCAGGATGACCAACATTACGTGGTGTACTGATTGTATTCTGGATAGTATTGTAGGTCGATACCAACGTGTCGGAGGAACATACTGCCTCCATCTTCAGAGTTAACTACAACATTACACAAAACACCACAGTCTGAACACTCACCGCCCTGAAAATCATAAATCCTACTACATATTATATGCTATCTAAGTTCATTCACGTGCTCCTGTGAAAACCCATGTATCCTGAACCTAAGGCAGCGGCCTGTTAAGTGTTCATTTGGGAATTCCTTTTATTTGTATGGTATTTGAAGTTTCAGTGTACGAAGTTCTGTATAAGAACGATGAAAAAATATATACCACGTTATTACACTAGTGACATGGATGTAATCAAAATCTGCTGTACGTGATAACGAGTGAAATTAGGCACACGAAGAACATACGATCAATGTAACTACTATGCTTAAAGACGTATCAAATACGGCTAAGAATACGATGTTTGTGTGTCCATTTTAGAGTCGTCACGTGCTAATAACAGGAACTTCACTGAGATTATTAATTTGTGGTGAATTAGACAACAGATTTGCCTATCCGCGCCTAATTACGCTAGTTATATTTTACATTATTTTCCTGACTGTTCTCGACAGAAATAGTTTCTATCCCAGATGAAATGAATATCCTTGAGTGCTAATTTTTGTCCTGTCGGTAGATAACGTTTCTTACAAAACTGGATTTGAAACTTGTACTAACAAAGGAAAAAGCAGTGATTTTGGGGGACATGATAATTTGTCATTTAACAGACACCATTGTGTCTGTCACCTGTCGCCTGTCACGTGGGGATTTTTTTTTTATTGTAGAAAAAGATCCGTTGCGCTGACCACGCGACACCCTCTGTCCGCAAAAGTTGGCACTAACTTCGCCGATAAGCTGCGGTCGCTCGGTCGGTAGTTCACTTGCGGACTACAGGCCACGGACTTTTTGTTTTTGTACGTCCTTCCTATTCGTAGTTTATTTGACGCCGTATTTCTGTTGCTCATACTACATACCAGGATGATTAGTAAACAGAAAGGATGGTGTAGTTGTAGACAATGTATTTTCTTTTCAGAAATTAATGAGTTTCGTGGTTTCCATGGGCGTCACCAGGTATTTTCCACGAAATGTGGGAGCACAGCCAGAAAATGTGCTTACAAAACTTGCGTTTAAGCCTTTTAAAAACCATTTTACTGATGAATCTGGAGAATTCAGTATAAAAGAATATTTTTAAATTCTTTTAACTTTCAGTATTTTGTATATTCCCCCTTTTTTTCATTCAATTTTTAATTTGCTGCAAAAATTCAAATGGGAGTAGATGCCTGGTTACCGTCCCTTCCCCTGACGCCGCCCATAGCAGTTTCCTACATACATTGTCAAACAACATTATTAGTACGTAACGTATGGTTTGTGCTTTGTTTTACATTGAAATAAATTATATTTTCTTTTAGGATAACAAAAACGATGGCCTTGATGAACTCTTTCCGAAACGGATCTCACAGGAAACAGATGTTCCTTGGAAACTTGTGAAGCCCACTCCCGGTATGTATATATGAACAGTGATATTGTGGTGATTATAAGTTAACCTGATATGGTTTATGAGTCAGCCTGATTTCTGTAATCTAATTCCACGATGCTGAATGATAATCTATAAAGCAATTCCTATTGCACTGTACCAGTATAGAGGAACACGGTCCAAGTATAAGCATGTGAAATAATGTCCTATTCCATAAAGGTAAAGCTATCCCTGTAACAGGCCATGGAGGCCCATAGGGTTGTGAGACGTCGAGGCTCCCACATTTTCTGTAGACAGTCGGCTCACAGATGGCGGTGAGGTTGTCAGCCTTACGCGCCAAGTTATACCTGTAACAGACCGTGGAGGCCCATGGACGTCGAGGATCCCACATTTTCTAGACAGTCGGCTCACCGATGGCTGTGAGGTCAGGCTTACGCGCCAAGCTATCCCTGTAACACTCCATGGAGGCCCATAGGGTTGTGAGACGTCGAGTCTCCCACATTTTCTAGACAGTCGGATCACAGATGGCGGTAAGGTTGTCAGCCTTACGCGCCGGCCGGCCGGCCGGCCGGCCGCCATTTACTCCCCAGAAAATTCCTGGTACTCATTTCTGTTACAGAGTGAGTCTACTCCAGGGGCATAGTGCGGCTGGAGGGATTGGGTCAATTGAAAAAGCCAATGATCTTATTGGGAATCGAACCCGCGACCTCCCGGCTTGTAAGCATAGTGTCTCAGCCAACTATTGTCTCATATTCCGTTCTATGTGCCTTTCTATCAGTAACAGGATGGACAATTGAAATGTTTTAAAGCTGTTCATAAACTCTTATGAATACCCCAGTCGATATACTGATGGGCTGCGAGTTGCACGGCCGGGGTTCGAGTCTTGGCAGGGGTACGAGATTTTTCTGTACGTGCTCAGACTGGCACTGGGACTGACCCAGCCTTCTATACCTGGGGCTCTCTCACGGGGAGTAAAGCAACCGGTGCGTGAAGCTATCACTCACCTCCTAATGCCAAGGTCAAGAACGGTGGAGCTATACCTCTACTTCTGCATAAGTCGTCATGGCGTGGTGCTTAATTAATAATGCACAGGGGCAACTTTACATAACTTTAGCGTAAGAAAATAATATAATAGGCAGTGATATACTACCCGACCCTCCTTTGGCTTTTGTGCAGCTTTCGAAATTAACATTGAAATTCACATCGGAGAAATCTCGTTCTACTTTAGGGATAACGGTTTTTAAAATAGAACTCTCGGCTTGGCGTTACTGCACTCTGGGCATTCGTCACGGGAGGAGAAAGTGACCAAGCTGAGTGCCAGAAAACGCCCATTACAGCCAGTAAAACACTTCATTGTGGACTTGTACCATGCGCGTAGCAGGAACATTTTCAAGAAGTGGGCGGGGGGGGCCACAAATTTTGCTTACAGACTTACGTTTAAACGATTTAAACCCATATTTACTTGTCACCTCAGAGAAGATCTATGCAGGAAAGAAAAATAATATATTTAAAAAATGTTTTTGTATGAATATTATATATATTTTCTTCTATTAAATTAAGATGCCCAAAAAAACGGGGGGGGGGGCAGAAGTCTAGATCCCCCCGCCCGCGAATGAAGTGACAGGAGGTTGGTGGAAACTGCATAATGAGGAGCTTCATAACTTGTACTCTTCTCCAAGTATAATTATAATAATGAAGTCAAAAAGGATGAGATGGGCAGGGCATGCAGCATGAATGAGAACGGATTGTATATAGGAGATTGGTGGGAAAAGGCCACTAGAAAACCAAGATGTAGGAGGGTAGACAATGTTAAACGGATCTTAGAGAATTGGATGGGGTCGTATGGACCGGATTGATCTGGCTCGGGATAGGGACCAGTGGGGGGCTCTTGTGAACACGGTAATGAACCTTCGGGTTCCATAAAATGTTTGGAAGTTCTTGAATAGCTACGTGACTGGCGGCTTCTCAAAATGGCTCAACTCCATTAAGTTAATTAGCTTAGAGTATGAGGTTCAACCTAGGATAATGAAAGTTCATTACTGATCCTCGCTGGATGATGACCATTCTCCGCCATCCAGTGCTGTGGTCAAGAATGGTGGAGCTATATCTGCACTCCCCCATGTCTTCATGGTATAGTATTTAATGAAGTACAGACATGACTTTACCTTTAACCCCCCGAACATTTCTGAAGGCGACTAAGGTGAATACTCATCTCACGATCAGAGCATCAGTAATATGTCTGTATTAGGGATGTACGTGAATCGAATCACAGATCGCAAAATGACCTTATGTCTTATAATATTTATCATTGTGACCACAGGTCGCTTCTTCTATGATTTTAATATCTAATTCATTTCCACGTTACATAATCTCGCAGTTGACATAGTGTCTATATTATATTTAAGCATCCTGTTGCACTATACACTTCTATATGTAACAATACAAATGCCGTCGTGAATGCAACAATTTATTTGGTTGTAGTTCTTTGTCTTTTCTTCCTCTACACTACATGTTTCGGCCGTAACTGGCCATCATCAGGTGTATTTTTCACTACGTAGCTGTCACACTGCACACAATCCAAAATCTAAAACACCAGCCTGTCAGTTTTGTTTAAAATCTCGTCAACATACGCTCATCAATTTGATTTTAGAATTCCAATTTAAAATTTTAAAATTCAAAATTTAAAGTTTTAAAGTTTTAAATCTCAGGGATACCTGCTCTGTGTCTACATGTGCTGCTGCGGCTATTTCTTGTTTTCAGCACCGTTCGCGTATTGTTCTGTGCAGGCTCCCTTTGTGTGTGTCGCTGCTTATCTTTAATACGTTTCAAATTTTAAATTGCAATTCTAAAATCAAATTGACGAGCGTATGTGGGCGAGATTTTAAACAAAACTGACAGGCTGGTGTTTCAGATTTTGGATTGTGTGCAGTGTGACAGCTACGTAGTGAAAAATACACCTGATGATGGCCAGTTACGGCCGAAACATGTAGTGTAGAGGAAGAAAAGACAAAGAACTACAACCAAATAAATTGTTGCATTCACGACGGCATTTGTATTATTACATATAGACATAGTGTCATTAAATATTCTAAAAACAAAATTAATTATACCAATCGTAATTGGACGGGCTCTGTGGGCCTAATGCAAACAAAGAGTTTTGGGTTCGAGTGTGAAGGACGGTGTGTTATGAACACTCGATGAGTAACGAGATATAAGCTGAATCACCCTATACTGTCTTACATCCGGTTTTGGAGTGTACACCTTCGTAGTGTTCGATAAAACAGCCAGGGCCTAAGTATTGCGCAACGACATGCAAGAGGATTGCAACCCCCCCCCCAATTAAGTATTTCACAATATTACACCATCAAAAGACTTACTCATCCACTTTTTCCAAGTCCTCTGTTGTTTGCGAACCTTGTTCAGTTATCTTAAACTTTTGTGATTCAGGCGTTTTTAATTTAGGGTACTACTGTAGGATGACGTTTTGAACTGAGACCTTGTAATAAAATTTCTTCCTGTACAACGTCCAGATCTGTGGCCTGTGTACTTCTGATGCGCTATCCAGGCAGTTTCATGTATGAATTTGTTTTCGGTGTCCCTGTAACAAGCTATGGAGGCCCATACGGTTGTGAGACGTCGAGGCTCCCACATTTTCTAGACAGTTCGCTCACACATGACGGTGAGGTTGTCAACCTTATGCACCGGCCGCCCTTTACCCCCAGGAAGATTCGTGGTACTCATTTCTGTTAGAGGCTGAGTAGACCCCAGGGTCATAGTGCGGCTAGAAGGATTAGGTCAATTGAAAAAAATCCACCTCATCGGGACTCGAACCCGCGACCTTCCGGCTTGTAGCATAGTGCCTCAACCAACTATGCTACTGCGTGCCCTCCGGTGTCCCCATATTCCTTCTAATATATGACACGGGCGGGGCATGTAGAATGCATGGGAGGATGTGAAATGAATGCAAGTTTCTAGTCTCAAAACCTGAAGGGAAAAGACCACTTGGGAAGCGCTCGTAGATGAGAGGATAATACTAAAAAGGATTTGAAGAAATTAGATGGTGTGGACAGGTTTAAACTGGCAAAACAGAGGAACCTGAGGCGGACCTCTGTGAATATGGTAATGAATCTTCGGGTTTCATAAAAGGCGAGGATTTTCCTAACTAGCTGAACGACCACTAGCTTCTCAAGAACGACTGACCCGTGTAGTTAATGTGCTTTTGTTACACAAAGGAATTTATAGACAAGTATAAAACATTCATTCTCAAAATATCCCCATCATATGGAATTACATTGCAATTTTAACATAACTGAACATTGCATTGTCTATATAAAGTTGTTTCANCAAAATAATAATTGTAACAATTTACCATCATCACAAACTTTTAGATTTTATTTGTTTCATGCTGTTTCAGACTTTTAAATGTTATGTAAGACACATTTACTTTTCAAATTTGAATTCGTATTTGTTTCGTTATTTCTTTCTACTTTTAACTGCTTATTTTTTTAATTAATATGAATGTTAAAAATATTTTATAATGACTGCCTGAGATTGTAGCAGCATTAAACGAAATGCTGCTGTTTGCATGAGCTGTTCATTAACTAACATGATGCAATACAGACCGACTGTTTTGCTGTAGGAAGAAAAATACATATAAAGCTTTATTGTAACAGACAGGTCGAGATATTGAATTAGCCTTGGAAAGTAGTGTCAACAATAAGAATTACTGGATGCTCTGACCTTGCTGTCACATCATCTGACCAAAGGAAGACAGCTAAAGAGATTTCTTCTGTCCCAAGCTTGAGGAACTACACTTTCATAATTGTATTTTCTCACAGACAGGTGTGCATTGAATTGGTTGTGTTGAACAAGCTGATTCAGACTGCCTTCAGTGTGTATCCAGTTAGTGCTACATAGTCACATGTTTCAAAACATGAAGTATGATGCAATCTAAGACATTCGCTTCGAGATATCGCGTCTAATTTATATCGGGGAGATTATTTGTTCAAATCTCGGCAAGAAAACA